CGGCCCTGTTGGAGCGGGTCCAGAGGAGGGTCACGAAAATGATCAGGGGGCTGGAACCCCTCTGCTATGGAGAAAGGCTGAGGGAGTTGGCGTTGTTCAGCCTGGAGAGGAGAAGGCTGTGGGGAGACCTTATTGCAGCCTCTCAGTACTTAAAGGGGAATTATAAGAAAGATGGGGGCAAACTTTTTAGCAGGGCCTGTTGCGACAGGACAAGGTGCAATGGTTTTAAACTAAAGGGGCGTAGATTCAGACTAGGTATAAGGAAGAAATGTTTTACGCTGAGGGTGGTGAAACAGTGGCACAGGTTGCCCCGAGAGGTGGTGAATGCCCCATCCCTGGAAACCTTCAAGGTCAGGTTGGAGGGGGCTCTGAGCAACCTGATCTAGTGGAAGATGTCCCTGCTTATTGCAGGGGGGTTGGACTAGATGATCTTTGTTGGAAGTCCCCAACCCAAACTATTCTATGATTCTATGATATGAATAATCTACAGATTCAATCACGATTCTGAGAAAACGTGTATGTAGGCAGACCTCGATATCAATACGTAGTGCTGCTTCTTGGCATGGAACCCAGAGTGTAATTCACTATAAATCTTCCACAATTCTTTGAAACTTATGAACAAAAAGTTATAGTATTTTTTATTGCTTTACAAGCTAAATTGTCAAATACAGCTAAAGAAATGTTATTAAGTAAAGAGACAGCCAGAAAGCATTTTTTTCTCAGTAGCTGCTTCTTCCTGAAGTGTTTCCCAAGTATCCAACACAGCTTTCATGTTGCCCGGAATCCCTATTTTCAGAATTTAATTTTTAGTTTAACCTAATTCTAGGCTGCACAGTTGCTTACAAGACTAAAAGGCTACTAAATACAAACTAAAATTAGAGTATAGGAGCAGAAGTGGCAGAGTGTGAAGTAATTTTCTGTCAATTTTATGAACACTTTATAAAGTTGCAGGAAAGAGACTGAAACCCGTTCTTTCATAATTTATAAACAGGCTCATTTTTATCTGCTTGAGACAGCTGAACTCTATGAGTGCAAACGTTTGTAGGTCTGAAATATTTAGAAGTTCTACATAGCATCATTAAAGTCGGAAGAATAATTTGTGAGAAATATGTAACTTTTGCTTTTTTACCCTTTTTTTTACTATTCCGTAAGAGTTTAATTAATACACTCAGGCTTTGCCTACATTAGGTGTTCCCTACCCTAAATTTTATCACTATCAGGTTTCTGGACAGCCAGCACCAGGCTGCAGCTGCAGGTATTTCCCTGGGCAGCCCTGTTGAGAAGGCCATGCTAGTGGGGCGGCCATGACGGAGGGGTGGCCCTGATGGTTGCACCTTGCTGCCGAGCAGTGGTGGGCGCTGGATAAAGGGCCTCCAGGGATTCCTGGGGCAGCAGACAAGCAGGCTCACTTATATATGCTCTCTATAGATGTACATCATATGTTATGTTTGGTAGCTGCCTCCTCGTTTCTTGCCCCAAAAGTGCATCCCACCCCTCATGGCGTAGAGGGGAGGTTGAGGTCTTCTGAAGCTGCAGCTGCCGCCCTTCAGAGGAGCCGCTGAGGCACTGAGGGCTCCTCGGCCTCGCTCCCTTGCCCTCAGCTTCGAGCTTCCTTTCAGGGCTCCAAAGGCCCTCGGGCAGGGAAGGCAACGGCCTCTTGGCCCGCGGCGAGGCGAGGAGCAGGGCGCGGCGCCAGGCGGGCTCGGCCGGCGGCAGCGCTGAAGGAGTTAAAGGCCGCCCGCTCCGCAGAGCTGCCGGGCGTTACTGGTTTGGCCTCCGCCGGGCACCGTCGTCGCTGCGGCGGTGGGGGGGGGGGGGGGGGGGGCGAGCATGGCCGCCGCCGGCGGGGAGCGCGGCGAAGCGGCGCCGAGAGAGGAGGGGATGGCAGGTGCCGGCGAGGAGGGGGACGGGGAGGAGAATATTCTGTATGACCTGCTGGTTAACACCGAGTGGTCTCCGGAGACGGAGGTGCAGGTGCGTGTCGCCGCGGCATGGCCGGGGTGCGGGGGAGGGGACCGGCCA